AATTGGGACATCTCTCATATTCAACTCATCCATATCAAGTAATGTCGACGTTGCAACTTCCGTTTTAATAACAAATGAATAGTGGTAATGTGAAATGATTCCTTTCATTTTTTTGTCCATTGCAAGTTGGTCCAATCGCGACCAAGACTCAAAGTCCTTTCCTTTGAGCAAGTCTCTCACATCTTCCAAATTTGTTTTGTTGTTACTGAACCAGACTGTGTAGTTAATCTTCATATCCTTAATTTTGCACGTACAATTGATGGTGGCATATACTGTTATTGTTGTTGTGTGATTGGGGCGAACAAGTAGAACGAGTGGGTCAAAGTGGAACACGAACTTTGGGTTGTTTGGTGTGTGGAAGATCACCATCATCCATTTCTTCCTACTTTTGTTTGAAATTTCTATTCGTTCATACCGAGTGTCTGCTACTGCTGTAAGTGAACTTGAGTTTCCAAAATCAAGTGCAAGAGGCTCTATTAAATATTTGTTTTCTCTGCTCGGTTCTTTGCTGACAGAACCAGAAAGGTAGAAATAATACGGCTCTTGTTGTTTTTTGAACTCCATAATATCGATACGACCAAAGTTGTATGTGTATACCAAAAACGCGATTAAACATGCAATGAAAATGGAGAAAGCAACTACACATCCAACTACAATTCCAACTATCATACCGGCCGGATTGTTTTCTTGAATGCACTGAGTTGTGTTGGATTTGTCTTGAACGTATCCAGACATACAATGACACGTGGAGTCACAATACAACCCATTGTCACAGTCTTCCAATCGTAAAACCCCAGAAGAAGATACAACACTTTCAACTATTCCATTTCCACAATTGTTTGGATAACAAATACCTCTCTTGTATGTGAAAAACTGTGCATCACACTGGCAATTGGCTTGACACCCTTCACTTTTGGGGTCACATTCCTTTTTCAAAGAGTCAAAATTACGTGAAGAACATGTTGTACTTGCACATAAATGGCCAGTCAGTGTATATCCATCTTTGCATTTGCAATAATCATCACATCCATCTGTGCCCTGATAGCATTGGTTATTACCAACGCCATCAAGAAAAGCACCATTATAATAACACAATTTGTGGCAATCAACTCCTCCAAAAGATGCGTTGCAGTTGCATTTCATATCATACAAAGAACACACCCCATTTCCTGTACTTTCATGACAATTTTCTGGACAAATTGCCGTGAAAGTGGCTGGAATATCAATTTCTCGTTCATCACTGATAAAAGAAAAGACTCGTTCGAGTCCATTACTTCCATTGATCCTCACAACAACACCATTTTTACGGCCGTTAATTCGTTGGTTACCAAAAGCCATTCCCTGCCATAACTGTACACACTCGTTGGTGCCGTCCGCCGTTTTTCTGAACTCTTGCATGTATCTCATTCGATTCTCTTGTAAAGTACTCACAACAATTGAAAATATTCCCTCGTATTGAATGCAAAATCTGATGACGCGCATGATCTTGCCGGGCATACACGCAGAGTACGCGTCACGTCCTTCTGATGATATTGGAAATGTCACAGTGTACGTTTTGCCAGTGTTAACCATATCCTCGGCCATTTGTTGTGTTATGGTGAAGAAGTTTTCTCCGACTTTGCCAAGCTGCTTTGAGATGGTCACATTGACTGAAAGTGCACTATACTCTTCTTCATAAATGTAGATGTAATACTTGTTGGTCATTGTTGTACTATTTCTGTCAAAATGAGCAGGCAATTGAAGAGAGGTCGTTTGATTTGTTGCTATCAAAAATCCACGTCCATAACAAAACGGGTTTGTCTTCTTGGGTGAACTGTCGG